ACCCAGGCCTGAGAAGGAGGGCAAGATTTGAATTTTTCTTAAAAAAGGGTAAGCTATGCCCTTGACCTTGGAGCAGGATAACGATGTAGTTTTGAATGTAGGTGAGGTCCGGAGCTGATGGTCAAGAAAGAATTCTTGAGACATCTTTGGTGCAAAAAGGTGGTTTTATTAAGGCATGGGGACAGGACCCATGGGCAGAAAGAGCTGCTGCACCGGGGTTGTAAGGGGTGACTTGGGAGTTGTGTGTAAGGAAAAAGGGAGGTTTTCTAAAGAATGTTCATATGCTAAAGAGGACTTAGAAGATACTGGAGTCCTTCCCATCGTCAAGGTTTTTTTTCCCTCTAGTAAGGTATTAACATTAAGACAGTTGGGAGCTTCGTGGAGGAACATTAAACTCTGCCTGCCTCAAGTATTTGTCAATGGGCTGCAGGTTATAAGGACATTTAATTTTATCTACTTTTCCTTCTGAAATTTAGCTTATTGATAAGAATGCTTTTTCCTTGTAAATCACTAAGACATTTGTAAACTGAAGGAGACTCACATCTTGCAGGACTGTGATCTCTATAAGTTAATCATTTGTTTTTCCTTCCCTTAGCTTTAGGGCAACCAGGAGTGACTGAGGAATGCCACACAGATCCCACTTGGGAGTGGGGGTGCGGGAGGGTTGTGGGGTATCAACTGTGCTTTGTCCTCAGCTTGCCTTCTGCTCCCTCATCAATAAGATAGGTGTGAGACCTCCCCAGGACCAGAAGAGGAAGGTCACCTGGCAAGGAACACAGACAGTAAAAGGGAAAGAAACCCAGCCCCTTTTGATTGGGTACAGGTGACTCATAGGTAGAAGTGGGTGTATGGGTTTGCTCTGGCTGCCGTAACAAAGTACAGCCGACCCGGGGGCATAAACAACAGAAACCAACTTTCTCCTGATTCTGGAGGCCAGAAGTCTAAGATCAAGGTATTGGCTGGGTTGGTTCTTCTGAGGCCTCTCTCCTTGGCTTGTAGATGGCTGCCATCTCCCTGTGTCTCTTCCGTATGATCCTCCCTCTGTGGGTGTCCGTGTCCTAATTTCTTCCCGTAAAGGTATCAGTCATATTAGATTAGAGTCTACACCTGTGGCCTCATTTAACCCTAACTACCTTTTTAAAGAGCCTGTCTCCAAAAACACTCCCATTGTGAGGGACTAGGAGGTTAGAGCTGCAACAGATGAATTTGAGGACACAATTCAGCCCATAACAATGGGTTTCAGAAATAATCATTTTCAAACAGCATCCCTTCAAGATGTCTTTGAAAATGCCATCTTTCTGCTGCAATAAAGGGAACTTAGGAAGGGGGTTGGGGTTTCATAGGAGGAGTGGCCCAGCAGCCGGAAGCAACAGTGAGAAGCCTCAGGGAAATTGAAACTGAAGTCAGACTGCTTAGCTTCCTACACCTTTTCATCCAAAACCTCACTGGGTGTTTTGTTTAAGATTTTAGTTATTGATTTGAGAGAGAGAGCGAGCATGAGCAGGGGGAGGAGGAGGAACAAAGAGAGGGGGAAGGAAAGGCAAAAAGAGGGGGAGGGAGAAGCAGACTCCCCACTGAGCAGGGAGCCTGATGTGGGGCTTGATCCCAGGACCCTGGGATCATGACCTGAGCCGAAGGCAGACCCTTAACCGACTGAGCCACCCAGGCGCCCCAGGGTGCTGTGTTCTGTCTTCATTACTAAGAGCATCATTCTCTTTTGTTTATTTGTGTATTTACAGTTTCATTTTTGAATTAAGGTATCATTTTTACATACGATAAAATTCACCTGTTAGTGTGGAATTCTATGAATGTTGACAAAAGCATACAGTCATGTAACAACCACCACAATGAGCATATAGAAATAGTCCATCATTCCAGTCTTCCCTTAGAGTCCCTCCCCTTCCAGTGGCTGGCAGCCACTGCTAGGTTTCCTGACCCTATAGACTTGCCTTTGTGAGAAGCATCATACTCTCTTAATTTACAAACAATGCTGACAGATTTTAAAGACCAAAGCATAACAGAAGCAGCAAGTTAGAACTGGGGATTGGAGTGGGGAGAAGCTACCCTGAATGCAAGAAGCTAAATAGGAGACACAATGAATTTGGGGGCCGATTGGCACAGATCCCACCCTGCAGGACAAAGTCAGTGACCCCCACAGCATTTAGGATAAGACCTGACTCCTCACCCAGCCTGTCCCCAAGCCTCCCTGCTGTCACCCTGCACCTGCTATCCACCAGCTACCTTGGGCTCCTTCCTGCATTGGCACGGCTTGCTGTAGATGCTTCCCGTGTCCACAACGCTCTGCCTCCTCCTGTCACATCTGCTCCCCTTTTCTTTCAAGCATCAGATGACCCAGCTCCTGAGCCACCCATCGCTCACCTGCCCTCGCAGTGCCCTGTTCAGTCTTCCACACAGCACCTGATACCACCTGCTGTTTTTCTTGTCGACATAGTTATTCTATCTGTTGAGCACCCATGAGTACCAAACACTGTTTTAGGGACCAAGACAAGAATATGAATAAAACAAGTCCCTGTCCTCCTTGTGGAGATTATTTCCCAGTGGGGGGAGACAGTCCAACACAAATGAAGAATTATAGAATATTTCAGGTTGTGAGAGATGCTGTGGAGGGAATGAAGCCAGGGCCAGGGAAAGCACAGAGGCTGTTGGGGCTGAGGCAGAATAACAAGGGGACAGTAGTAGGATTTGAGCTTAAAGAGGGTGCAGCTCATATAGGACTTTGGAGGCTGTTAAAAAAAGCCTTGGGAAACCATCGAGGACTTTAAAGAGTGTAGTGACACCATCTGACATTTTATAAAAGGAGGAAGAATATAGGGAGCCCCTCCCTGTTAGGAAGCTATTGCTATGATAGGGGGATATGGTGGCATGCACCAGGGTGCTGGTGGTGCAGGGGTGAGCCACAGGGATTCATGGAGTTGCTGGGATGCTCACACGCTGCTGATGGAAGTGCAAGCAGGTATAGCCACTTTGAAAAACTGGATGTTGGTAATACAGTTGAACATTCCTCACCCTATGACCCAGCAGTGCCACTCCTAGGTATTATACTCAAGAGAAGTGAAAACATATGTTCACAAAAAGACTAGTAGGAGAATGTTCATGGCGGCACTGCTGTGGCCACCATATTTGGGGATGCATGGATCAGTGAGCAGACACGCATCTTCTGGAGATGGAACACGAGAGTGCTGCCCAGAGCCAGAGCAGCATTTCACAGGACAGAAGACCATGCTAGAGAAGGTGGCTGGAGGCATGGAAAAAATGAAATCATGTTTAGAGTCCTGTGTAGGGAGACAGAGAAGTATATTATCCATTGTTCAAAGTTTAGCAATCAGAAGTGCTGAGCAATCAGGAGAGTTGAGTAGTGTTGAGTTGGGAAGGATTACTAGTTATTTGCATAGAGTTAGAAGATAAACAACTCCTGATGAGAAGTTTGAACCGGGGAACTGCTCCTTGGGGAGCATGATATAGCCTGGTTGGTCCACATACAGTATGAGAAACACAAAACGTACTGGTGCCAGAAGTGACTTATAGCTTAGGTAGGCCAGACTCTGCTGCCCAAATGAAGAGGGTCTGTCCTGGGTGCGGCACACAGCCTCTGCCCCCCTCTGCCCCCTCTGACCCCAGCATGCACTGCATCTGCCTCCCCTGGGAGAAAGTATCGAGCTGGGACTATCCATGTGTCATTTGTACTCTGATCTCAGGCATCAGTGCCCCCTTCAAAGAGGTCATCCTTGGAGGAAATATATTTATTGGAATGAACCTGTTCTTGCTCAAAATTTCTAGATTGTACCCTCTGACACCTCCTTCAGAGCCAAGTTAAGCTGCACACAAAACCCAGAAATTTCATTTACAGTTAGGTGCAAGTTAAGCTTGGACACTCTTGAAGTGGAAATTGGTATGCTCCATTCTCTCTTTATAGAACTGTGAAATTAACCTCTCTTGCTTTGGCTGCCAGAAACCTCAGAGACAACCCCTTTACAAAATATTACTTGCTATTTATACTTTAATCACTTGAACATGCAGCTCTGGTAAAGAAATCAACTTGAAATACAGATAATGCTACCTAAATTTAACAAACCATTCCATTATGTGATTTTCATTATAATTGTTTTCAATCACTGTAAAATTATTGCCACCATCCTTTCAGAAAAATTGGAAAACACAAAAAAGCAAAAAGTAAAAAAAAAAATCACTGTGATTTTTATTATTTTAATGTAACCTTGTGATGATTTTTTGTTGTATTTCCTTCCAATCTTTTTCTTCTTTAAAATTCAGTTTCTAGGGACGCCTTGGTGGCTCAGGTCATGATCCCAGAGTCCTGGATTTGAACCTCATAGCGGGCTCCCTCCCTGCTCAGTGGAGAACCGGCTTCTCCCTCTGCCCCTCCCCCTACTTGTGCTCTCTCTCAAATAAATAAAATCTTTAAAAATATAAAATTCATTTTATACTACTCTGTTCAGGTGTAGCAACTTCCATAGTCCTATTTGTTTTCTCATGATTTCCACAAAATTGTTTTCCTGATTGTTTTTCTCTTTTGTTGGGAGTCACATGTTTCTGCTTTGGCTGTGCCGTTGTGGCGATATCTGGGCACAGGCACTGGTGAATGGCTTCACGAGGTTATTACCGGGAATCACAGCCCCCCGCCCCCCAACCCCGCTACTCCAAGAACAGCTCGTGAGGATTCTGAAAGCCCTTCCCAGCAAGGAACATTAGGAATAATCCCTGCATCGCCGGAATGCGTGACCAACCTCCCCAGATGGCCACCTTGATAGGGACCACGGTCTGAGGGTGGAAGTCCACTGTATCCTCGGCTGATCTGCCAGGCAGGAGTCGCGGTCCCCAGCCGGGCTCTAGGGACCGGGGCTCCCGCACAGCGCGCGGGGGTTTCCCGGTAGGCTCCGGCGGGGGGCGGGCCGGGGGCGGGGTCGGCCGTGGCGGGCGGGAAATAAAGGAAGTGGGAGCGCGGCGGCTGCGTACTGCGCGCGCCCCAGGGACTTTGCCTCCAGCGTGTCTTGCGCGGCTCCCGGCCCCCGGCTCCCCTGCTAGCCTCTCGGCCTGCTGCCACGGCCGCTGGGTGGGTGAGTAGCCCCCGCTACCACGCGCGGCCGTCTGCGCTGAGCTGCAAGCTTAGGAGCCCCTGCCTGCCAGGCGCCGGGCTGGCTCAGTGCTCGCCGGCGGCCCGACCCTCTCAGGCACAGTCCCGGACCGCCTGCGCCCGGGAGTGGGGGCCGCCAGGTGCCACCCCGTCCGGAGCGCCCCGTGGGCCCGCGCGGTTAGAGCCTGCCGGCCCTCGGCCCCCGGCGTCGAGGCAGCCTTTCACCCCGCCTCCCGTCCGCCTGGGCCCCTCCTTGGGTCCTCGCGGCCCAGACATCGCCGGAACGGCCCTGTCGGTGGAAGGGGGACACAGGGGCAGCCTGGGGAGCGGGGCCCGCGCGCGGCCCTCGGATTCTGTCCAGTGGCTAGTGGCCGGAGCGGCCCTCTCCTTGGGTAGGCTAGAGATGGCTTTATTGTGTCCTCTCCGAGCGAGTCTTTGGGTTTGGCCGGCGGCTGGTGGGGCCTCGGCCGGGGTGCGGTGGCGAGGTTGGTGAGTTGAGGACTTAAGACAGTGAGACTAGCGGCTGCCGGTCCAACCTCAGAGGAAAAAACCGACGGGAAGGGACGAGTTCAGGTCACACATCTGTCTGTTCAGCACCAGATCCAGAACCTAAATCCAGACGCGGACCTTGGATTCTGGTCTCGGGCACTTTTCCCTTCTTACCCCTGCCTCAGGGTGGCCAGAGAGCCTGTCTTAGAACTGTTAGAAATTACAAGCATAATGAATCATGGAACACTGCATCAAAAACTAATGATGTAATATATGGTGATTAACATAACAATAAAAAAATTAAAAAAAAAAAAAGAAATTACAAGCATATACTGGCTGGTGGTAGAAATCAGTTTTTTGAATGACTTTGTGACCCCAGGGAACCCTGGGAGAGCCCTAAAGCCCTCAACTACAGAGTGGCTGGGCTGGCAGGGATTTTGCTGGGGTCATGGAGGGACAGTGGTGGTGACAGTGGGGGATGAGCTTGAGGAACACAGGTGAGGCCTTCTGGGATTGGATTGGTCTGGAAGAGGTTGAGGAGCAGGTGAGAAACCCAGCGCAAAGCACCCCCACATTTTCAGGCAACTAATTCCACTGCCAAGCCTGCCTGCCCTTCCTGCAAATCTTATCTGTCTGCCCAAGCCTCACTTGGTGGCATCTCAGCTGGTCTCTCTATAGAAGGGAGCTGGGGAAGCTGCTGAAGGATGTGGTTTGTCCACATTCCATCTCCACCCATCTGGGGCAAGTGGCAGGCTCTGAGTTGGGGAAGGCTCTCCTGGGCCTTGGTCTCTGCCTTTTTTTTTTTTTTTTTTTTAAGATTTTATTTATTTATTTGACAGAGAGAGAGTGTGAGCACTTGGATGTAAGCACAAGCAGGGGGAGCAGCAGAGGGAGAGGGAGAAGCAGGCTCCCCACTGAGCAGGGAGCCAGAGGCAGGGGCTCCATCCCACAACCTGAGCCAAAGGCAGACACTCAACCGACTGAGCCACCCAGGCGCCCCTGGTCTGTGCCATCTTGAGACAGACCTTGAACCAGGGCCCTGAGCATCCACTGGAAGTCATCAGTGACTGTTCCTGGAAGATAGTCTGGTTTTGGAACTAGAAGGAAAGTGGGAAAGGGACTTCTGGTTTTAAAAGTTGAGGTGGGCAGAGCTCTAGTAAGGCCTTGTTGGGAAGAGAGGATAGATGTCAAGCCTTTCATTGCTGCCGGGCATGTGTGTGTTCTGTCCCTCCTGCCTGCCCAGGGAGAGAAGAGGTACAGGGTCAGCGCCCACAGGAGGCCTTGTGAGGCACTTCATAAGTGGGGTTTAAAGGCAGCCTTCTCATGGGCTTCCTTGAGTACTGAGGTGCCCAGTGCCCATGCGGTGTGGTTCATGAGGGACAGGGTGCTGTCCCATGGGAATGGAGACATAAACTGGCTACTGTCATACATCAGGACATAGGCTTTAGTGTGTTTGTTGCAAAGAGCTTTGGGAACATGGGGTGGGTTGCTGTTTTTGTCTGAGGAGGTTAGGCCATCTGAAGGGGACTCTGAAGAATATATAGGATCTTGCCAGTTGAATAAGGTGGGAAAGTGCACTCAGGGCAGTGCAGGAATGCTGGGGGAGGGGTGCCTAGGTGGGGAAGAGGTATCTCTAGGTGGGAATGGGCACTGCATGCCCTCCTCCGAGGCCTCGCCCAGGGAAGCTCACAGCCTTAGCCAACCTGGGGAGACCCATTGGAGGAACTGCAGGTTTCACTCATTGGCAAACGAGAACGGCCTGTCAGGAGTGCTGAGGCCACATGGAGGAGCAAGATATGAGATGGAGTCTTCCAGGGCAAGAGTCTTGGCTTGAGAAGGGCAGTGAATGACATTTGAGCTGTTCTCTTTTTCTCTAGTGCAAGGGACTGTGACAGGAGGTCACCATCATGATCAAGGACTGTGTGTTCCTTGGTGGTAGTACGCAGGATGCTGGCTCTGGATTCCTAGCTCCTGAGAAGACTCACTCTAGAGCTGTGGCCATTGGAAGTCCTTTCTGTGGTTGTACCTCCGGTGACCATTTGTCAGTCTGGGGCTTGGGAGGGCAGTGCCGCCCTGGATGCCCCCTGAGGCCAGCTATCTACCTTACTGGGCCTCCTATGCATAGGATCCCATTAGCAGCACCTTGGCTGCCACACCTGGCTGGCCACCCCCCAGGCCATACCTGTCCTTGCCCAAAGCCACTGAGGGGTCTGAAAAAGCTAAATGAGGATGGTGATAACATACAGAGCTCGCTGTGGGCCAGACACACATGTAAAGAACTTTATGTGTATTAGTTAGCTCATTTGGACATCACAGTAATCAGAAGCAAGGTTATCATCCTTATTCTTCAGATGGGGGAGCATTAAGTAACTTGCCCAGGGTCACAACTGAGGGAGTCAGACCCTAGACTCCCAGCTCTCAGTATTACATTACACTGCCTGGATTTCCAGGCTACTCGTCCATTTTCCAAATTCAGCCCATCTACCTCTGCACCTCTACACCAGTTAGACGTGAAGGGGCGAGGAACAGAGAGAATGGCCGTGGCCTTTCTGACTCCCCTCTCCTGCAGGCAGCTAGTGATGTGCGTGGGACAGGATGAAGCTTCAGGGAGCAGTGCCATGTGTGGACCCTCTGGGTGGGATTTTGCCCAGCAGGTTCCCCAGCCTCCCATCCCTGAGGTTCAGTCCTTTCCCTGCCTTCCCCTCCTTCTCTTTCTGCCTCCAGAGGTCAAAATGGGGGAGTTTCAAATGAAAGGCAGACTTGATGATCTGGATGAACCATAAAGCAACCATCGAATGGAAATCGTGGTTGGCTTTTTGTGTCCAGGGTCCTAAAAGCCACCAGCTTAGAAAATGAGGAAGTGGTTTGTTTTAAACTGACCTCTCCCCTTGGTAATCCTATCAGCTTGGTGTTGGGTGTTGGAGACGGGTGCCAGGCGGTGGAGTTTCATCACCCTCTCTGAGTCATAGACCAGGTTTAAAAGGGGGCTGGTTACGTTCAGACACCCAGAGTGGCCGGTTGCCCTCATGGAAGGATGTGGGCTGCACGGAAGTGGGGCTGCCACATGTGAAGAGAGGTGTGCCTTCTGGGTCCAGCGTGTCGGGATCACCATGGACATCCTGGCAGAGCTTTGTGCCTGGGCTTCTGCCTGGTCTGAATGGGCTCCCAAGCCCGCACTTAATAAGCTCCTGCCGTGCTGCTGTCTGTGCTGACCCGTGGGGCAGGTCTGCAGTTGCTGATATGCCGGCCAGTTTTTGGAATGCCAAATGTAGCGTAGTGGTGGGAGGTGGGGTGGCTGTCTGAGCTTTTATCTGAGGCCAGCATTGGTGTTGCTGTTTTTCTGTCAGTGGGCATCTGTGCATCTGTAGTTGGTTTCATTTGCATAACTCTATCATTTTAATTTTCAACCGAATTCTGTAAAATTCTGCAGATGTGAAACATCAGTGGTGGGGTGTTTCTCACGTATATCCTCATATTTAGGCAAGTGTTTGGATGGTCACAGCCCTGGGTCCAGGACTGGGCCACGTCCCGGGAGCTTCCGCTTGGATCTCCACACCCTCATGCGCACCCCCCGCCATACCCCTTCCCGGCCAAGCCAAAGCGAAGGGTAAGAATCTCATGAGGCAGGGAGTGCCCTTTTTACAAATAGGGAAAGGGAGGTCACTTGGCAGGTTGAGAGCCAGCTGTGACCCGGGTATCTCTCCCTCTTTAGAGGATCTCTCTGTGGGCTGGGAATGCATGAGCCTCTTAAATGCTGCTGGGCCCCAGGGACTTAGGGAGTTTGGGGTTTTTCTGGGGTTTTCATCTGTCCAGGGAGAGCCAGCTGAAGTCTGGGGGACTAGTGTTGAGTTAGGGCTTGGGGACAGCAGGAGACATGACCAGAGTAAGGGAGCAGAGGAGGAGGTAGTAGATGGGGGGTGGGGGATAGGGGCTGAGTCAGGAAGGCTGTGGGAGGTGGTGTAGGGTTCCCACCTGGGAGTAAGTGCTGGAGAGTGACCTGGGGCTGAGTAACTCTGGTCCCATGAGCAGTAAACCAGGCCTGAGGTCTGAGGCATTTGTGTGCCTCAGTTTGGGAGAAGGCCAGCCGGGTAAATGAGTCACAGCACCAGCAGCCCCTCTCAGCATTAGTGAGGGTGTTATTTATAATGGATCACCATCTGGGAAGTCAGATCCATATGGGAAGGGCTGGGAGGGGCTTCTGCACTGGCAGGCAGCTCCTTGGAGACAGAAAGGAGGCCGCAGCCTCTGGGGAATCCTGAGCTTTAGGTGCTGACTTCTGGTGAGGGAGGGCACTGTGTTTGGGACTGTCCCTCCTCTTTCTTCTGGGCCCAGACACCTCTATGTTTGGTAGCAGGGGTGGGGAGAGGGCAGAGGCTCAGCACCCCCTTGACCCTGGAATCAAGGCAGGCCGTCCTATCGTAGAGGAGGTAAAGGGCCCTTAACTGGAACCTCTTCTCAGCTTTCCAGCAGGTATTTCCTCACCCTGTCCTGGAGAGAGGGTAGGGTTAGGGTTGTGAGGTCAGTGGGTTGGCGGGCTGGCAGGCCCCTGGGATTGGGTGACAGCAAGCCTTAAGGAGAACATCATACTTTCTTTGGTCCCCAAATTCCCCACCGTGAGACCAGTTGGCCCCAGGTGTCCATCATGTCTCAAAAAGCCTGGTTTCTCCCAGGGATATCTCCTAGAAACCTTGGTAACATCCAACCTCCCAGACTCTTTCCTGGCCGCCTGGGGAGCTGAGTCCAGAGCCGTTGTTGGTGACAACATCTCACTGGGGTGGTGCTTCTCTGTGTGTAAAATGATTGTACTGACTATTTTCACACCCTGCACCATTCCAGATACAGGTTATCATCCCTTTGCCTAGATGAGGAACCAGAACCTGCTAGAACTTGGGAGGTGGGAGGGTTGTTGCTTACCCATGGGAGCCCCTGCCGTGCATACTTGGCTGGCCCACCTTCTCCTCCTGCTCCATTCAGCTGCCCCGCCAGCCAGCCATGCCTGGCTCTGAAGGCCACCTGGGAGCAGCCCCCTGGGCAGCGTGATCTGGGGTCTTGGTAACGTCTCTTTTCTTCCCCATGACTAAGCTCTAAGAGGAAGGCAGTTAGGGTTGTAGAGGAGATAGGCAAGGACAAAGGCTGAGCTAGACATTTTGGAGTAGCCTCTGGGATGCCTGTCTTGCCCCACCCCGTGTGCACAGATCTTTCTGAAGGGCCTAGGCAGGGGAGGGCAAGCAGGAGACTCTAGGATGGAGGCCTTTAGCACCCAGGACGGTGGACTTTTGCAGACCTGGGTAGAGCAGTGGACCTGTGTGAGGGGATGGCCTCAGGTACCTGAGAAAGAGGCTCCTGCCTTTTCAGAACATACTTTCTCAGGCTGCCTTTTTTTAAATTTTTTTTAAAATTTTTTATTATGATGTTAATCATCATACATTACTGGCTGCCTTTTTTTAACCACTTTATTGAGATATTTCACATACCAAATATTCACCCATTTAAAGTGGTTTTTATTGTATTCACAGAGTTGTTTCAACCATCACCACAATCTAATTTCAACAGCCCCAAAAGAAATTCCGTACACATTATTAATCATGCCCTAGTCCCACTGTCTCTGCAGCTCTTGGCACCTAATCCACTGTCTCTTTGGATCTCTGTATTCTGAGAGTTCCCGTAAGTGGGATCATACAAAACATGGCCTTTTGTGCCTCTTTCACTTTGCATGTTTTCGGTCCATCCATGTTGTAACGTGAATCAGACCTTCATTCCTTTTCACGGTCAGATAATATTCCATTGTAATAGAGGTACCACGTTTTGTTTATGCATTCATTAAACATTGAACATTTGGGTTCAATGAACATTTCTACTTTCTAACGATTATGGATAATGCTGCTATGAACATTCATGTACAGGTTTTTCTGTGGGCATATGTTTTCATTTCTCTTAGATATATGCCTAGGAGTAGAATTGCTGGGTCACTTGATAACTGTGTTTAATTGTTTGAGGAGCTGCCAAACTTTCTAAAGGAAGCTGCATCATTTTACATTCCTACCAGCAATGTCTGAGGGGTCCAGTTTCTCCACATCCTTGTTACCACTTGCTTTTATCCATCTTTTTTAGCTTAGCCATCCTAGTGGCTCCATTGTGGTTTTTTTTTTTTTTTTTTTAAGGATTTTATTTATTTATTTGACAAAGAGAGACAACGAGAGAGGGAACACAGGCGGGGGGAGTGGGAGAGGGAGAAGCAGGTTTCCCGCAGAGCAGGGAGCCTGACGTCCATCCCAGGACGCCAGGATCATGACCTGAGCCAAAGGCAGACAGACACTTAACGACTGAGCCACTCAGGTGCCCCTTCATTGTGGTTTTGATTAGTATTTTTATAATGGCTAATCATGTTGAGCATATTTTCCATGAGCTTATTGGCCATTTTGAGTATCTTTTCTGGATCCTGTTCAAATCTTTTTTTTTTAATATATTTTTTAAGATTTTATTTATTTATTTGACAGAGACACAGCGAGAGAGGGAACACAAGCAGGGGGAGTGGGAGAGGGAGAAGCAGGCTTCCCGCTGAGCAGGGAGCCTGATTGGCTCGATCCTGGGAGGAGTGGGGAGTGGATGGGGTGTTGGGCTTGATCCCAGGACCCTGGGACCATGACCTGAGCTGAAGTTAGACACCCAACCACTGAGCCACCCAGGCGCCCCAATCCTGTTCAAATCTTCTGCCCAATTTTTAATCAGGTTGTCTTTTCATTGTTGTTATAAGAATTCTTTGTTGTCAGTCCTTGTCAGATTAATGATTTGCAAATATTTTCCTCCATTCCATGGGTCGTCTTTTCACTTTCTTAGTGGTATCTTTTCAAGCAAAAGAGTTAATTTTCTTTTCCTTTTTTTTTAAGATTTTATTTTTTATTTTTTATTTTAAGATTTTGTTTGTTTATTTGACAGAGAGAGACAGCGAGAGAGGGAACGTAAGCAGGGGGAGTGGGAGAGGGAGATCCCAGCCCGCATCGGTCTCCCTGCTCTGGGGGAAGCCTGCTTCTCCCTCTCCCACTCCCCCTGCTGTGTTCCCTCTCTCATTATCTCTGTCTCTATCAAATAAATAAACAAAATCTTTAAAAAAAAAAAGATTTTATTTTTAAGTAATCTCTACACATAACATGGGGCTTGAACTTACAACCCTGCGATCAAGAGTTGCATGCTCTACCCACTGAGCCAGCCAGTTCCTGGAAGTTAATTTTCAAGAAGTCCAGTTTATCTGTTTTTTTCTTATATTACTTAATTTTGTGGTGTCATATCTAAGAAATCATTGCCTGACCCACGGTCATGAAGTTTTATTCCTGCGTTCTAAGAATTTTATAGTTTTAGCTCTTGGGTTAGTTCTATGATCTATTTTGAGTTAATTTTTGTATATGATATGAGGTAGGGGCTTGTGGATACCCAGTTGGCCCAGCACCATTTGTTGAAAAGACAACTTTTTACCTGGTCTTGCCCCCTTTGTCAATGATCAATTAACCATAAATATTAGAGTTTATTTCTGGACTGTCATTGCTAGTCCACTGATCTTATGTTTATCCTTTGCAATACCACACTGTCTTGATTAGCTTAGTAGTAAGTTTTGAAATTGGGGAGTGTGAGTCCACCACTTTGTTCTTTTTCAAGATTGCCTGTTCTGTGCCCCTTGCATTTCCATATGAATTATAGGAGCCATCTGTAACTTTCTGGGAAAAAAAAAAAAAAAGCCAGCTGGGAGTCAGAGAGGAATTGCATTAAATCTATAAGTCAGTTTTGGGGAGTATTGCTATCTTAACCATAATAATTCTCCCAATCTATAAGCATCTCACGGCTTTTCATTTATTTAGCTCTTTAGTTTCTTTCAACAGTATTTGTAGTTTTTAGTGTACAAATCTTATGCTACTTTTGTTAACTGTATTCCTAAGTGTTCTCTTTTTCTTGATGCTGTTATAAAGGTAATTGCTTTCTTAATTTCATTTTTGGGTTGTTGATTGCTGATGTATAGAAGTACAATTGATCTTGCAATACTTATGTCCTGTAGCCTTGCTGAACTCACTTATTAGTTCCAGCAGTTTTTTTAGTGGATTCCTTGGGCTTTTCTACATGTAAGATCATGTCAACTCAGTATGTTTTAAAGCTTCTCAGTTGATTCCTGTGTGCCAGGGTTAAAAACCATTGGGTTAGATCAGTGGTCCCATGCCTTGAGATGGAAAGGGGGGAACAGAATCAGAGCACTTGAATTTCTAAGGACTTTTCTTCTGTGTCTGTGGGGAAGAATAAGGAGCTTAGAGAGGGACCAGTATCGTACACTCCAGCTTCCTCCAATCCTGGTAGACCCAGTGGGGCGGGTGAGTGAAAGTGTGCCTTTTACAGAAATGTGTTTTGGGTGAGAGTGGCAACACCCTCCCTGCTTGGAGTTGTCAGAGCCCGTGGGAAAACTGGTAAGAGTCAACACCCAAAGGAAGAAGTCAGCGGCTTAGGGAAGCCGTTGGGGTCCTGTTGGGGACTGTGTAAAGGAGGAAGTCTGGCTCAGAGCCACCCAGGGTTGTCGGGACTGTCTTTCTGGCTCTGCCTTGAACCTATCCACCCCAAGTAACTGGACTT